CTCCCTCCATCAGAAGGTCAGTAGTGGGAATGCTCACTGATGATTACACAACAGTCTGTACCATTCACAACTCCTTTATGTACTGAAGTAGTTCGTGCCCACAAACAGAGAGTCCTCAACAATATTCTGGCTTGGGTTTATGTGCAGTGAGAATGTTACTTATCATTTAAATGCCAGGCAATGACCGTCTTCAAAAAGAGAGAACATAAACATCTCCCCTTGGCTTTGCAATTGTTGATTTGCCCACCATCAACATACTGGGAAGTCACCATTGACCAGGAACTGAACTAACATACTGTGGTTACAAGAGCAGCCAGAGGTTGGAAATTATGTAGTAATAAATTCAATTTCTGACTCCCCAGATCCTGCCCCCAGTCTATAAGGCTGAAGTCAGAAGTGTGACAGAATACTCTCCAATTGCAGAAACAAAAACAAAGTTGTTGGAAAAGCTCAGCAGGTCTGGCAGCATCTGTGCAGAAAAAAATCAGAGTTAATCAATTCTGAGGAAGGGTCACCGGACCTGAAAAGTTAACTCTGATTTTTTTCTTCACAGATGCTGCCAGACCTGCTGAGCTTTTCCAGCAACTTTGTTTTTGTTCCTGATTTACAGCATCCGCAGTTCTTTCGGTTTTTATTTACTCTCCAATTGCAAATGTGAGAGGAACCTTGACATCATTCAGGACAAGGCACCCCATTTGACCAGCACTCCATCCAACATCTCAAACATTTACTCCCTCCACTACAACCAAGATGGGCAGCAGCGACTCAGTACGCCTCCTTTGACAGTATCATCAAAACCTGCAACGCTCCATCACATTGATGCATGGGAATATTTCCCTCTGAGCCACACATCATGCTGATTTGGAACTACATCGCCATTCCTTCACTGTGGCAGGATTAAAACACTGGAACTACCTCCCGCAAAGAAAAAGCACAAGGGTGTATCTAACTCCCCCATGGCCTGGAGCAATTAAAGAAAGCAGCTCACATTCACCTACGCAAGCTCAATAAATGTTGGCCTTGCCAATAATGCTCACATGTCTACAATCAATTGGAAATAAATTACAGGAATGGAATAAATTATCCAATTTAATAATTGCCTCAGTAGGAAATGTATCCAGTGATGTAGCAGTAAATTCTACCACAATAAGATGATCTCGAGTCAGATTCATATTTGGTTACCTTAGCCAGGTTATTTTGAATTAATCTCACTTCATACTGAGCTAAAGAAGGATTAAGTTTTAGCTGAATACCTTCCAATGATTACACATGGGTGTGTGAGAAAATCTGTGTATAGATAAGGATGGGGTCAGGTTTAGCAATGGCACCTCTGTGGAAGTACAGTCTGCCAACAACCAATTTATAGATTAAAACAAAGGAAGTACACTTGAATGAGATGTCAGGTCACAATGGCTTCTGAACTCATATCCTAGCAAATTAGCAGCTTCAGCAGCTGAGGAGCAAAGATTCCAGGGAGCTGGACTAGGAGAGAAATGGTGTACTTCTCACCTGGGCTCAGAACAAAGGTTTAAAAGCAAATAAATATACAATATTAAAACTTCACACAAATCAGCGCTTCCTTAGTGGTCCTTCTCTCTCTATGATCAGGGTCTGGAATCAGTTGCTGCTCTTCTACTCTATTCAGTAATGTGCATCTTTCCACATAGTGGCTGAGCACCAAATTTGGCTTGCATGGTATGTTTTTGCTTGATTTGTCTGGAGTGAGAGAGTGATGACACTGTATCAGTTCCTTGTATCAATGGTGTTGCCAGGCCCTGTACTCTTACCTTGGCAGTAAAAGACCTGTGAAAACACCCCAGTGGAACAATAAAACCAGTTCAGCAGTATAACAACAAGCAGCCTTTGTGGGGCCAACGCTCTCTTGAGGAATCGAAACTAAACAAGCAACAATACAAGAGACAACAAGGTGCAGGGCTGGATGAACACAGCAGGCCAAGCAGCA